TTGTTTATCTGTTTTTATTTATTTTTCTATCCTTATATTGTATGCTCCCTTGCGATTTAAAATTTTTGTCGATTAATGTGATATTGACACCTACAACTGATAGTAAATATGTCATGTGTAACTGATTATGATAAGTATTATCTAAATATTCTAAGGAAAAATTTATACGAAAATTATATTTAAAAATATAGGACAAGCCGATGTGTCCTGTTTTGTTCCCATTTCTGATGCTGTACTATGTTTTATGGAAGTACATCGAAGACGAATTCTGCTTAGAAGTATACATTTTAATTGAATATAATCAATGAAATTAAACATTTTCATCGATTTTAAGTGATCTATGATTGAATTGAGCATTTAAATAGTAGTGCACAATATGCAGTATTTTGTGTTAAATGTCCAATGAATAGAGTTCGGTAATATTTTATAGCATAGAATAAGTTTCACTCGAATAAACTACTTATTTGAATTGTCTCCAAACGCCTTTTCAAATATATTGGTTAAAAGTCAATCTCTTGTTGAATGTAAAAATAATACTCTTGTACGTAGATTTGAAAATATTTTTCTATTTCAATAGTGCATGCAGAGATATTGGTATGAATGTTGAATTCGACTTTTCCATTATCAAAACCCACATTGACACTTATATCCTAAAATTTGAAGGAGATTCAAAATCTTGTTTCACATTATACTTTATCTATAAAAATATGGAATAATTTTCAAAATGATCATGCATCAATTTTTTGATTGTCAGAACGTTGACTTACATAGAACAAAATTTATTGGATCTTTTAATAAACTATTCAATTTGATTTGTCTGAGATTTTCAAAAAAAAAAAAAATAAAGCAATAATTACATATAATAGAAGCAAAAAAAGGAAAAACATATCTTGAGTACCTTTATGACATAAGAGATGATTATTATCGTGGAATAAAATAATTCTTCATCTATTGTTTAAAAACAATCTTGAAAGTTGAACTTTTTCTAAGTTGTTTTTCACCTATCATCAAATTAGATACCGAATTTCCCAAGAGTAAATTCTTCTGCAAATTTTCGAAAAATGAAAGATTTTTATGTTCACGCAGATGTTAAAATCAATTGTCTTAAAACGCAATCAACTATTAAAGAATGGATACTCATTCATTGCAATTCTAATTTTTCATCTACCGTTAACATCAGTGAATCGATAGATATTTTATCGGACGAAATATTTATTCCAGCTGAAACTCTGGATTATGATACTTATGAATTTAAATTAACTGTTGCCATAGTTAGTTTGTTTGGATTGAATTCGTTAGTATTTTTGTCGCTTTATTTATGATATATAAATTTTCTTTTATCAATAGAATTGGAATTATACACACTCTTGTCGATTATATGATGTATATAATCCAATAAATACTACTGCACTACAACTAATCGAGGAAAAGGATCAACCATATTTTTCTTCAAAATTCATTTATGCCAGTTATCAGCTATGTACTTGTTCAAATAAATGATGACTACACGTCCATTGATTGTAATTGCATAAGTGATTCTTCACAAACAATATTACACGTTTCTTATCAATTTCATTTTGATTCAGATGTGTCATTTCAACAATGTGTTCTTTCAAAGTTGCATAGTACAATGTGCATTCAACAATACAAGAGGCTCTCTATCAGCCGATATTGTGTTAATGAACTCAGTTCAATAGAACAAATTCGTGCTACAACGATAATCGGTTATTCGGTAAATAAAATTCGTAAGGTCGTTTCAAAATATTTCTTGAATAAATTTCAAGAATAAATACAACTAATTTCACGGCAACACGTGAATTTGAAGTTATATACAATTTCTATATCACAAACAAGTTCTAGTGCAATTAACTTTGTTGTCAATCAAGCACCTCAACGTGGTCATTGTTTGATTCAAGGGGAGGGGGGGGGGGGGGGGGGGGGGGG